GCAGCCTGCGGGAAGGGCGGGAGTGCGGTGAGCAGGCGCAACGTGGGGGAAGGGCGGGAGTGCGGTGAGCAGGTGCAGCCTGCGGGAAGGGTGGGAGTGCGGTGAGCAGGCGCAGCGTGGGGGAAGGGTGGGAGTGCGGTGAGCAGGTGCACTGTGGGGGCCCCTAGAGCACCTGAGCCCTACCGAGGAGGCTCCTGCGCCTCCACATGAGGCCGCACTGATCCCCTGACCCCCCTTTCCTTGTTCTCAGCATCAAGCGTCTGCTGATGTCCCAGGCTGACAAGATGACGGCGGATGAGGTCTGGCGCCCGGATCCCCTGCTCGCACAGGCCTCTGCCAAGCCCAGGAGGGGAGGGGAGGGCAGGGCTCCCGGGGTCAGCTGGGGGGGACGCTGGGCCGGAGCGGCTGCAGCACCGCGGTGGGACCCAGGACACCAGAGGGGCGGGAGAGGGGCTCCCGAAAGTGCCCGTTTGAGGGCGGGGTCAGCGGCTGGAGCGTCTGTCCTGGCCTTAGGGGCGGGGCTCGCATCTAAGCCGTCCCGCAGCCACCCCCACTCCCAACCCTCGACCCCCGCTTCCAGCCCCAGCGCCACCTGCCAGAACCCCCGTCTGGCCCACACCCCACACGGTCCTCCCCGACGCTGCTGAAGGGCCCAAGCCCCACACCTGGACCCAGGCTGTGGCTGCAGCCGCCCCTGCCCCCCACCGGCACCGCCCCTGCCCCCCACCGGCACCGCCCCTGTCCCCCACTGGCACCGCCCCTCCCCGCTCCGACACCGCCCCAGCCCTCTGTCCCACCTCCCGCGGCGCAGAAACCACACCGGCCGATAGGGTTTGCGCCTGTAATTCGCCGGCAGGAAGCCCCCCGCCCCGCACCGGCCTGAGCGTCGCCCCCATCCCGCGGCAGGTGGACCAGATGTTCCAGTTCGCCTCCATCGACGCCGCCGGCAACCTGGACTACAAGGCGCTGAGCTACGTGATCACCCACGGGGAGGAGAAGGAGGAGTGAGGCGCGGCCCCTTCAATAAACCTGGACGCTGGGCCCTGCCTTCGAGTCAGAGTCCGCTCGCGGGGGTCACTAGGCGGGGGCAGGGCGCGGGCTCGGGGGCTTCTGGACCCTCTACCGAAGCCACATCCCGTGCGCTCCGGAGTTGCCGCGCTGCGCCCAGGACCCCGTCCCGTCCCGCGCCCCCTCCGTCCATCCCGGGCCTGAGTCTGCACTGCCCACGGCCGCCCTGCCTAGTCCGGGTCCACACAGCATCCTCCGTGGTCCGCGTCCACACACGGGGCCTGCCGGGTCCTCGTCCACACAGCAGTCGCCCGCTCTCTCAGACACGTATCAGCCTCGGGGGCTCTCCCACGAGTCCTGAGTGCACCCAGCTTTCTGGGTGGGCCAGCGCAGCCTGGGGCAACCGAGCCTGCCTCCCCTTCACGCGCCCCCAGTCGGTCTGCGCAGGGTTCTGGGAGGGCGAGGCAGGGCCCAGAGAAGCGGCCCCAGGAACGAGCTGTCCCTGAGCTTCCTGCAGCTTCCAAGCTGGGAGCGCCATGCTGGGGCCTCAAGCGGTGGCTTCCGGGGGGCACACCCGGTCCTCGGCGCCTGGGCGCGCGTTCTGGGTGGCGGGGGACCCGCCGGACTCGGCCTGCAGGCGCCGGTATGGGGTGTGGAAGAAGAGCACCACGATGCAGCTGAAGAGGGTGCAGAGGCCGGCCATCAGCAGCAGGGACACTGGGGACACACGGCACAGCTGTCCCCACAGCCACGCCCCAGGGCCACAGATGGGCAGAACCCGATGCTGGCCCATGGTGACCCCACCACCCCTGACCACAGACTGACCCCAGAGAGCCCACCCCCAGCCCCTGACAGCCCCCGGAGGTGTTTGCAGAGCCAGGTCTTGAAAGCTGGGAGCTCTGAGGTCACCAGCAAGGAGACACGAGTGTGCCAGCCCCACCTCTGATCTCTGCCACACCTATCCTGGCTCACCTGTCCTGCTCCTGGGGACTTCCCGCTTGGGGCTCACCTGTCCTGTTCCCCCAGGACTCCCAATGTGTGACTCACCTGTCCTGTTCCCCGGGGACTCCCTGCGTGGGGCTCACCTGTCCTGCTCCCAGGGACTCCCGTGTGGGGTTCACCTGTCCTGTTCCCTGAGGACTCCCGGCATGGAGCTCACCTGCCCTGTTCCCCCAGGACTCCCCGCGTGGGGCTCACCTGTCCTGTTCCCCGAGCACTCCCCACGTGGGGCTCACCTGTCCAGTCAAGTGGATCCTCCCCATGCACGCAGGTGGAGAAGGACGGCTCCGAGCGTCGCACAGTCAGTGCCGTCAGCACCATCATGATAAGCATGCCCTCAGCCTGCCTGGACACACAAGGCCTTCAGCCCCCACAATGGCTGCACTGCACATCCCCTCAGCCCCCCACGGCACTGCCCATCCCCTCAGCCCCCCACGATGGCTGCACTACCCATCCCTGTCAGCCCCCCAC